ACTAACTTTCACCACATGAGCTTCTCAAAACCTAACTTCACTGGCTTCTCTATCAGTCTTTCACTGTCAATTTAAACTGTTGGCTTTCAGCATTCAAGTTCTAAGTCAGCCCTGTTAATTATTTTTACCTTTTTGTCTTCAGACTTCATCTCCCATTTCCGCTGAGTTAACTTACATCTCCTTGTTCATACAGCGAGCTCAATATGCCCAAAAGCAGACTCAGCATTTCCTTACAGAATGACTTCCCTCTTGCCCTTGCTGTTTATCCTCTGACAAATAAACCTTACAAAATATAGCACCATCTTTGGACTTCTCCATTGCCTGTGTTCTATGTATTTCTGATGGAATTCTTGACCCTGTATTATGGCAAAACCAGCTTTTCTACCATGTAGTGCAGGACAATTCTCAGCCACTATCAGGGATGTCCAAAAGCCCCAATTCAGTGGTTATTACTTTAGCTTTGAGGTAGTGTCTGTGCTGGTTATGCTGTGAATTTAAGATTCTAGTCTCCCATCTGTTCCCAGTTACTGTTCTGGTTTCTTAACCATTGCTGCTAGATCTCCCTAATCAGTACATTCTAAACTTTAATGTGCCCATGAATCCCCTGAGGATCTTTTTTTAAATCCAGATTATTTTAAAAATGCAGATGATCAGGAAATCTGGGGTAGTGCTTGAGAGTCTACATTTTTAACAAGCTTTCGAATCATGTCCACACAGCTGGCTCAACCAGTGAGCACATTTTGAGTAACAAGAGTCCATAGCAATAGTCTCCTAAACTTCCTTGTTTACTCTCCTTCCCCAAAAGAAGACAGCAAAAGCACTGTCATATTGTCATGGTTTCTGGATACCACTGCCCACATTACTAGTCTCCAGCATAACAGTATGTCAGAGCCCCCTGGGAGCTCATGAAGTGTATACCTATAGGCTTGTAGCCAAGCCTATAGGTATACACCTATAATCCCAGTACTCTGGGAGGCTGAGGCAGGAGGATCACAAGTTCCAACCCAGCCTGGGCAACTTAGATCCTGTCTCAAAGTAAAAAATTAAGAAAAAACAAAGAATTTATGATGTAGTCAATGTGAAAGTCTTAGAGATTTGATCCTCAATACTGAAGAAAAAAGAAAAATACTGGTTCTTGGGTTATATCCCTGTAATATAGACAGTGTAAATGTAACTACAAGCTACTCCCCTCCACTTATGTGAACCTGAGCAATGCCCCAGGGCCAGTTCAGTGATCCTTGTCCTAGGAGACAAAGATAAGAAAAGTAAAGACCCCTGAGCCTGCCCCTGAAAATTACAAAATTCCAAATCAGGTCACATGCACACCAGACCTACCAGTATGACCTCCAGTAACCTTTCTTCATCTGGAGCTCATTGAGGTTTGTGTATATGGACTGCATCTTGTACATCCTACTATTACAGAGTCAATTATGTGTAGGACATGCACAGGAGACACAGCTAATATGACCCAGCACCCTGTTGATAGTGTGATCAGTCATGCTCTGAAAGACCCAAGGGGAAGCGCCCCAGAAGCAGCTGCAACATTTTAAACCTGTACATCTTATGCTGCTAGTTAGTGTTCATGCTATTTTCTTTTTGCAGGCATGAAGCTCCTCACTCTGAGTGTACTACCGCCTTAGCAAACTGTGCTGCTTTTTCCTTACTGTCGTGAGCTATGTCTAATTCTTTGATCATTGCACACAAAAGCATAGGAACCTGTCCTGCATGCCATGGTAGCACCTGGGCATTTCAATTCAGTAGGTATGGGATAGGGCCTCAGAATTTGTATTTTTGTGAAGTACCTCAGGCAATCTTGATTTTTTTCTTTAAGGAACTGCGTCTCTTGGGCTGAAGTCCAACCTGAAGCCTTGAATGCAAAAATCTTTCCCAGTAGATACATGTTTTCCTCTTTCTTTCTTTCTTTCTTTCTTTCTTTCTTTCTTTCTTTCTTTCTTTCTTTCTTTCTTTCTTTCTCTCTCTCTCTCTCTCTCTCTCTCTCTCTCTCTCTCTCTCTCCTCTGCAAACTTTTGTTTCAGGCAGATTATCTGTCAGACCAACTCAGAGTATCACTTTCTTTTTATTTTGGTTATAATTAGAAATTCTACCCATGCTGTAATGAATTTATCCGTATGTGTGCATCTTTGTTCAGCAAGAATGCCAACTACTAGAAGACACGTTGCCAGGGCCAAATCTATCTCTTCTCTCTTCGGCCCCACTGAATCCATCCATCCTCCTGAATTTTCCCAAGTCACTACCTCCTTCATATTAAAATCCCACACTGAGCAACAATTTTTCTGCAAGAATGAAAAATGTGACTTTACTGACTAAATTAAAAGTAAAGGTAATAGCCTTGACCTGACATATAAGAAAAATGCTGAGTCATGCTCCAATTCTATTCAGAACTGGAGTCCCCGAGAACAGAGACCCTGTGTTATACTTCCTCCACATCATTTTCATGTGTCACAGGCATCACACTCATCACTAAACCCAAGGCTAAGCAAAGGTCCAAATGTGTTTGTACCCTGCTGGAGGATGACCATAATGGTGGGGACAGAAGGAGTCATTAGAGCTAATTAGTTGAAATGACATCAGGCTGGGGATTTAGCTCAGTGGCACAGTGCCTTCCTGGCAAGTACAAGGTCATGAGTTCAATCCTTGGTACCAAATAAATAAATAAATAAATGACATCAAAATGATCTAATTAGCTTTTTAAAACATCCTTGATCCCGGAAAATAGTAGGTGTCCAACCTCAGCATACCTTTACTCCTAAAATACCATTAGAACATTTCATAATGCTGTGGAACACAATATTAACACCAGCTGTGAGAAAGCAACATCCATCAGCATCCATTTAGCTGATGTGGAAAGAAACCCTAACTGCCCAGTTGGATTTGAGAGGTGAGACTAACGCAGCACACAAGCACAAGGAAAGAAATAAACAGAAACCATACTGTGTCCTCTTTGTGAACCAAAACTCTAAGCCAAACTTCTTAGCAAAAATACAGGATCAGTCAAGTGTGGTGGCACATGCCTACAATCCCAGCACTTTGGGAGGCTGAGGCAGGAAGATAGTAATTTCAAGTCCAGCCCAGAGACCCAAATGACTAAGCAAGATCCTGTCTCAAAATAATTTTTAAAAAGGAAAAAGAGGGCTGGGAATACCACTTAGTGAGATGATCCTATATTCAATCTCCTGTACCACCAAAAAAAAAACCCCAAACCACTGAATCACAATCCCAGCCAACCTGCCCTTCATACTCCTTCTCCGCCCCTTTCTTCCCATTTGACTGACCTTTCTTGACTTTAGTGCCCTGCCTTTCCCTTATGCTTGTATTTAGGCATATACTGTTTTTTCCACTCAAAAGGCCTTGCCAAATACTTACCTTTTAAGATCAAGTACCACCTTTTGTGAACCAAGGGTAATTTCTTCCTTCCAGAAAGGACAGGGGATCTAAAGAGCTGCAAATACACATATCTTCATATGATTTTTCTTTCAGCCTCTTACACAGTGCTTGGCAACGTTCAGTTCTCTGTAGATTTCTGTCAAGTGAATGGAGGAGTTGTTGACTTACTTATGTGAGTGGGACCCCTTGCCTGTGAATCTAAGGTCAGTCACTCTTCTGACCATTTCCAAAGGAAATCTTTCCTTTTCAATATCCATATAATAATCACAATAATAGTAATAAATAACTATTATTAATTGAGTACTCACCGTGGGCCAAACACTATTTACTTTTAACCACGGATCATTTTATTTAACTTGACATGTTATCTCCAATGTACAGAGGAGGAGCCTGGGTTTTAAGGGCCTCAGTTCCTTGCCCAGGTAATAGAAGAGAGAGCCGAGACAGACGAGAGCCCATGGACGGCATCATTAAGTGACCCTGCCAGCCTTAGATGGACACTGCCAGGCTCGTGGTCAGTGACTCATTACCAGTGATGCCGAATTCCTGAGAGAAGCACTTCTACCTCTGGGCAGGCAGCACCCGGCTTTCCGTAGGAACACAGTGACCACATTAGTGTTGCATCACACTAGAAATGTCCATAGCAACACACTTGGGGGCCTGCGCTGGGGGGCTCTGACATAGAAGCCCAGGACAAGTGTCTTTATTCCTCGTGAGTCCTGCAAAAGGGGGCCTTTGATAGCAAAGTGCCTCAAGACCCTGCTGCACGGAAGTCTTGAAGTTGTTCCCTTATAATGTATGTATAAGTTGTTGGCTAGAAGACTTATATGTTTCCTGATGAAGTCTTTCCTAACACCTCTTCAACTCTGTCAGCTCCCCCCGACCCAGTTATTTAGGAGCACCTGTAATTCTTTTGCAGTCCTTCATTTGCCACTCAAGGCTAAGGGGAAATTTGCTGTGAAATGTGGCATGCATTCAATAATAAATTACAAATAGCTACATCAAAATGCCAATTCACATTATTTTTCAATCAGATGAGAAAAGACCTATTTTTCCAGGATAAAGTAATAATCTTTGTGAATTAAGAATATACACTAGCTGGCTCCCCAGAAAGGGAGCAGGAGGGGCTTAGCAAAGCCCCAGGCTAGAGCCCCTGGGCATGGGGTTTCTAGTTTTCCCAGATTGCTTTGCTGAAGGTTTGAGGGACAGTCTTGTGCCTGTGTTCTCAGTATCAGCCCTGCTCTGAAAGCCAGAGTGGGACAGCCACACACCGACACCTCGTGCACTTGTGTGTTCTGAATTCAGACATACTTTTTACAGTAATCCCCGTGTGCCACTCCAATGTATTAGAAAAGATGAGAAAATGGGAAGTGAGACCCATCTGAGTCCATGGAGATAGTGTCAGAAACATGTCCAATGCCTGTGCGATGCTAGCAACGTTTATTAAATACCTCCCTTAGATGTCGTGTGTTTAAATGAGAAGCCCAGCGGATCTGCAACAGCGCGCAGAAGTGCGGTGTGCGGGTCGGTCGGTGGCTCCTCATTTGGAGAAGGCAGGCAGCTGGGCAGTGATTGAAGTGTCCAGCAGGGGGCTGGCATTCGCTGTCTGTCCTCGGTTCAGCAGAGCGGCAGTTTGCTGGTGAAGCCTGTGACGCGCACGGCATCCTACCTATAGGATTTGAGGTTTGCTCAGTGCAGTTTTTTCTACCCACTTTAAACCTCTAGGTTCTAAATATCAGGAAAGACAGGGAATGCTGTGTGAAAATAGCCAAAAGTTCTCAGTAAACTGCAGGTAAGGGAACTGAGGCCAGGGCAGAGGAGAAAGAGGTGCCAGAGTAGGTTTCTTTGGAAGCCTTTCTTTGGGCTGAGTTTTTGTTGTTAACTTACTGGATTCAGAGAGGGACCGAACTGGCTGTGTGAAAGCCAGAACAGCATTAGCGTCAAAACAGTGACGAAGGGGTTTTGAATATCATAGTAGATAGGCATTCAGAGTGTTTAGTAAAGAAGTTAGAAAGCCAAGCATAGCCACCACCTGCATCTTCACCTAACTGCAGAATCAAAAGTTTAGAAACAGCATCTACAGGGCACTTTGAGGTAAAGAGAAGGCTAAAGATGGATCCAAATAATTGTTTCCTTCTGAAATTGGAAAGGAAACATTCGATGCACTGCAACACCTCCAATCACAGTGTGGATCTCCCTGTGAGCGAAGACTGGTTCCACCCGGGGATCTATGTCATCCCTGCGATTTATGGGGTTATCATCCTGATAGGCCTCATTGGCAACATCACACTGATCAAGATCTTCTGTACAGTCAAGTCCATGCGCAATGTGCCGAACTTGTTCATCTCCAGCCTGGCTTTGGGAGACTTGCTCCTCCTGGTAACCTGTGCCCCCGTGGATGCCAGCAGGTACCTGGCTGACAGATGGCTATTTGGCAGAATGGGCTGCAAGCTGATCCCCTTTATCCAACTTACCTCCGTGGGGGTGTCTGTCTTCACACTCACAGCGCTGTCTGCAGACAGGTAAGCACTGACCGGAAGTTACCTGCTCTCTCAAGGTGGCTGAGGCCTCGGGAAATGAACTGCCATGTTGCATCATGACCCACAGGGCTGTTGATACAAAGGCAAGTTTTATTCCCGTTCAGGCTAGTTACTGCCCATATTCCAGGCAGTATCTTTCTGTTCTGGGAATCGTTTACTGCGTTTGACATACTGGTTCTAGAAAGAAAATGGCAACTGGTAGAGACAGGAGACAAATGAGGGGGGAAGAGAATCTGAGTACAGGATGGAGGTACATTTTCCTAACTTCTCTCTTCCTGCAAAATTAATTGACCATCACACCCCATAGCTTCCACCTCAGGCAAATACTTTTTAGGAGCAATTCAAGCCCTTCAGAGAGCAAAGAAGTCTCACTGAGCATCTCAAAAATATTCTTTCGGAAGTAACCCAGAGGAGAAAATAAGCCTCATTTCTTTGAAATGTATTTTCCTCAGGCAGTTTAACTTTTCTCAAAGCTGATTTTCTGTGTGGCTGTCTATGACTAAAGAGTTGGTGCTGTTTTTTTCTAAGTCTCTATTAAGTGGTTTATTTTTCCCCCGTGTGGAGAAAACTTCATTCAAGCTTCACTTTTTATTTTCATATCTTTATTGACATTATTCTATACACAATATCTTTGAGGGGTTGGTTTGGGGCTCAAAGGGGCAGAGACTGGTGTAGGAGTTTATTCTGGAAAAAGTATGTATGTATATTTGTGAACTGCATTTGTTGTGTGGATGTATTGCATACAAATTTGCATGTATTCATTCTTAAAATTTTTTGTACTCTTTAACATTTATCAGACATTTATCTAGCCTGTAGCAAAGCACTTTGCTTGAATTAACAAGGCAGGAAATAATCTGCAGATTGTTCACACAAATTGCTGAACATACCTTATGTATTTCTGGGTTCTGCCAACTGGACACAGTAATGATTAGACTTTCAGACACAGCATAAACAAAATGGTCAAATTAACAACAACAAAAAGAAACAGTTCAGTGAACTAGAGACTGTGCGTTTTTAATCTCAAAACCAGCTGTATTTTATATGCTAGAGATACACAGAACCCGAGAGTGTGCTAGAAAAAGCAAAGAAGCAGCTCCTAAAAGTTTATACTCAGAAGAAAATGTCTCACATTTTGATACATGAGGTTCTGGGTTCTCATTTTGTAGGGGAACAAATAGTTCTCAGGTGAGCTGACCTTGTAGAGTAATGGACAAATAAAGATAATGTTATCAGTATTTGTAGACGTGTTTATGCTCAGCTGCCTGAGGCACACTGCTAAGCACACATAGCACTTTCAAAGACTGAAAAGAAATGGCCCAGAAGTGAGTGTACTGCACCACGGGACAGGGTCCCTACATTCCCTTGCCTGGCCTTCAGTGTGCTCTTAGCCCGGACATTTGCCTACCAGTGCAGTTTCGGTGTACATTCAGGGCTGGAAAACTTTGGAACTGGCAGGGGCTCTGTGGCTGGCTACCAATGGCAGAGGGCACTTCAGGATGAGGGTAATTTTCTTGCTGGGAAGGCGAGATTTCAGCTTCCGGGTTGATGAATGCAGTGGTGCAGATGGTGTTTACTGTCTTCTTGGGAAGGGAAACAGAGAGGAAAGTGAGGGCATGGAATGTAAAGATGCAGCTGCAGGCACCTCATTCCCAGAGTTTCAAAGCAGACCCAGCTCACCATCAGCAGAAAGGCAAAGCTCTTTCCAAAGCTGGCTTGGACGCATTGGCAGCTGCAGTGCATCCTCAGTAAGTTTATAGTTACTATAGGTCCGTCCCAAGTTGAGAAATCATTGTGTGCTCCTGTATAACTAACTTCTTGTGCTCCACTATGGTATTATAAAGCTGATGGCCACCTGAGTTACAGGCAGCACATCTAATCAATTTCAACAAGAGTAGGTATTGAGCTAGTTAAGAACATAAAGACTATATATACTTCACTATTTATCTCATTATTTAAAGCTGCAGGATACTTATAGAAACCTCATGGGATTGGCAGTGCAAATAAGTATTTTATTATACGTTCTTCTGAACAAAGTGTAATCTTTATACTCAGTTAATCGAGTGAGTTAAACCAGTTCAATACTGTCATATATGTCTATATAATTGCATAACCACTACCCAGTTGAGATACATGAGAGTTTTCCCCAGAATTTCTCTTCTGCTTCTTCCTAGTTAATACTCCCACATAGAAGTAATTCTGATCAGTCACCAGCAAATATTTATGCCAATTCTTTAGTCATACATAAGTGCAATCGTATAGTGATTACTCCATGATGTCTGTCTTCTTACGCTTATTATTTTGTACTGTTCATCTATACTGGTGCATGTAGACAGTGTTACATGAGTATGCCACAGTAGATTTGTCTATTCTAGTACTGATAGGCACTGGGTTATATATAGTTTGGTGTTGATAATAATCATGCTGAATGTTTTTATTATGCCTTTGGGGAAATAAAAGCTTATTTCTTTGGGGGGATATGTCCAAGTATGGAATACTGGGTTTAGGAGTATAGATTTTGCAGATATTATTGAAGCTAATAAAAGATAAATTAAAAGCACCTCCAAACTGAAAGATCATCAGAATCCTAGGGGAACTGAAAAATCATACAGCTCCTTAGGACCCAGCTCTACTGAATCAGGGGTTCTGACATGTGACTGGGACCCATAGTGACAAGCCTCTATCCCTGCCCTCTGCAGGTGAGCCAGCAGTGCTGGTGCTCATTCTGACCTCCCTTTCTTCAGTCCTCTCCTTCCTCAGAAGAACTTGAGTGTTTGTCAGCATGAAAAGAATAATATGCTTCTAGAAAAGTTTATTCCACTGCCACTGTGGCAAAGGGAGATTTTAAGGCAATCTCAGAAGCGGGAATTCTGGGATTATCCCAACTGGCCAATTGCAGGCTTACATTCAAGCCCTATGGGGTCAGTCCTTTTCCTCACTTTCCTCCCAGATCTTCTGCCCTTACACTCATAGGTGTCCCCATGCACAGTGGCTCAGCTGACCTGTTCCTGTCGCACTGCTCTCCAGTGTGCTTTTTCCCTCTTCTCAGCTCCTGGTGTCTGGCCTCGAATTGGTATCTGTGCACCTGCATGTCAGAAATTTTCTGTCATCACTGACCACAAGGGACTTGGACTAAGCTACTTAGCTCCTACGGTCTTAATTTAATCATCTATAAAATGATGGCATTTGAGCTAGATTATTTCTATGATACCTCCAAAGTGTAAAAGCTTGTGATTTTTATCTGCCATCTTGCTTCATTCAGAGTCTGGCTCAAGCCTCCTCCTTAAAGTCCAAAATTGAATCATTCTAGCCCAGATTTCCTGGTCCTTTTCTATTATCCTAGACCTGAGATTTATTATCCTAGACCTGAATAATCTTGTGACACCTTTTATCTTGCTGTTTTGAATTATTTCACTTGTCTTTTTTAAATCCTCTCATGTATTCATTGCTTAAACATTTTGTAGATTTCCAAGAATGATGAGATTAGAGATTTCATATACTTTAGTATAAAATCCATTTCTTCAGTGATGCAGCCACATGTGAAGTGCTCAACATCACATGAGCTTAGTGGCTACTCCCCCTAGCAACACAGACACCGAGTAGTCTCATCCCTGCAGCCAGTTCTACTGGGTAGTGCAGAAATGAGATTGCCCTGTGTATGGGCTCCAGATATCTCTCCTGGGACCCACGCATGTGGCTCTCTCTCAGATAGCCTGTCAGGATTTCCTCAGAACCCAAAGCCTTCCAGTTGCTCAAGCTCCTCCCATCTGCTTTCTCTTGGAAACACGCACAAATGAGGAGGGAAGAAATCCTGCAGCCCAATACCATCACTGGCATGGAGAATTTAAGTACTTAATTTGATAGGATTCTGAGACTTTTTTTTTTATTTCTAAAGAGGGTAAAATTAAACAGAACCAAACAGATCACAAGACAACAATGTAAGAGACACAGATTTCAAAGCAAGACAATCAGAGATCTTTACTGTCTATCATATTGTCTCTTGCTTTCTTCCAAATAGTTGTCCATATCTTTGCATACAATGAATTCATACAAAAGATAGTATAGAACTGATCAGAACAGGATGATGAAGGCATGTTAGGTCTTGAAGACCAGACAATAAGGAAGTCAACAATGGATGCTATAATGATTCTCATTCTCTTCAAAATAGCTGTCCATACCTTCATGTATGTTGAAATTAAAAAAAAAAACAGACTAAAATCACTCTGAACAAAGAATAATAGTATTGCTGGATTTCACACCATGGTGCTACAGAACAGCACTGGGTACCTTAGTGTCTCTTTTTCTTCAAAGTAGCTGCTCATTTCATTGTGCATTATTTATCTATTCTCATAAACTTTTTAGAAGTCTACACATGCATAGGGTTTTGAGACTTTCTGAAGAATACATGTGAAGGAGTTCACTTTCAAGGCCTGCATTATGAATTTTGTTTTGCTGTGGTTTTTCTTCTTTTTTGAGACAAGACTGCACTATGCAGTCCAGTCTGGCTTCAAACTCACAGTGACTCTCCTGCCTCATCCTCTCGAGTGTTGGGGTTACAGGTGTATGCCACTACACCAAGCTTTGCATTATGACATTTCCATGCTCTTTTTCAGGCCCTCACCCACCTGTGAGTCTATCCTTATACAGTCCTGTCTTAAGACTAACCAGACCAAACACTGCTCTATCCAAATTCCTGCCATTTCTTCCCACGTGGGTGCCACTGGACTTCTCCCCTCTCTCACTGTCACATTTCCCCTCCCTACCAGTTAGGCTCTGTTCCCTCCATCTGCTCATGTCCTGTGAACTCTGCGTGGCACAGTTCAAGTCCTTTCTGAAGGTGTTTTTGCCTGTATTGTTTGTCAGTTACCAAACCTACCTTGCTTTGTACCACAGAGTTACTTCACAGATTTGCTTTATAAAGGGCATAGGAAGCTTGATGGTGTCTGTCTTCTATGAAAGCCTGGCCCATCCAACTTCTAATAAGA